TCTTTGAACATCACCCTCGTACGAGGAATACCAACAAGGAATAGATAACACTGATTCATCATCTGCCTGAATTGGCTGCTTGTTTACTGTTGAGTGGAATTCAAGGTGTTCCCTAATTCTGGGCCTTTAAAGCCATTGCATGGCTTGGATGCTAACAGGAGATGGACTGCCTTCACAGCTGGTCCTGCCCTTGCTCTGGGATCTGTGAGGGAGGCTTTTCCTCATCCCGTCATTTGTTTAAGTGAAAAACCCATCAGAGCATTTGTCCTTGCTTGGTTGTTTCTAGACCCTTTTTGTGTTTTTTTAAAAAACAGAGTTATCTGTCCCCAAGCATTATACATGTAAATACAATGAATGAAAGGCTAAATACATGAAAACAGTTGGTAACAGAGACAAAATTGCTGACTGCTCCCACACCTCTTTCTCTCTTGAAATGTTCAGTAGAGAATGTGGTCGTGGGTGGTGGGTTGGGTGGGTGCCTTTTTACATCCAAAAAAGGAGTTTATGAATTCATGTTCCCAATAGTATAAATCATCCTCATCATCTTTTTAGAACTGCAGAGCTAGATGGGACCCTATTGATAATCAAGTCCAGCTCCTGTCAAAGAGGCCCAGTGGGGAATTGAACTCCCAACCTCTGGTCCTGCAGCCAGATGCCTAAGCCACTGAGCTCCCCTATTGGCCCTTTTCATGTATGTAGCACTTTTGTTATTTCACAGATGTGACTCATACCTCTGGCAAAAACGTTATGTCCTGTCATAAAGGTCCCCTTCTTCTCGCTAAATATGGGCAATTGGTAGTTTACACTGGTGAGGGAATGTTCAATCCTGTTTCAAAATGCTATACAGTGGTGCCTCGCTTAACGAGCGCACCGTAGAACGACGAATCCGCATAGCAAGGGTTTTTTTCCGATTGCAACTGCGATCGCAAAGCGATGGCCCCAATGGGCGAAACTCGCATAGCGAAGGTCGGTAAGCGTTTCGATTACCGACCTTCACTCTGCGACCTGCGGATCAGCTGTTCGGCAGCTCCAAAATGTTTAATGCGTTCCAATGGGTTTTCTTGATCCGTTCAGCGATGTTTTCACATAGCGAGGGTTAATCCGGAACAGATTAACCTCGCTATGCGAGGCACCACTGTACAAATAACAAGCAGAATGGAAGTCATCAGGGATGTTGGCAAGTCTTTGGGTCCAAATACCAAGCCCCAAGTCCTAGCTTTTTTTCCTTCAGAAAAAAATGGTGGGTAGTTACATTCCAAATAATTATTGAGCCCGAGTCATTGGAAAATAAAAAGTTGAGTCTGAGTTGAGTCGCTGATGTGACGTAAGTCTAACTTGACAGCGAATCTTGTGACTTGAGTTCCCATCCTTGGAAGTCAGAAGATAGTCAGTGGGTTGGCCAAATCCCAACTTGTCCTTCTGCAAGCAAAAGTATTTCCTCCATTTGTGGAGGGAGCAAGGCTCCTCCATTCGCATACAGTGGTGCCCCGCATAGTGACGTTAATCCATTCCGGATTATTCGTCGCTATCCGGAATCGTCAGTAAACGGAACTAAAAACCCCATAGGAATGCATTAAACTTTGTTTAATGCGTTCCTGTGGGGCCCAAACTCGCCGTTTGGCGAAGATCCTCCATTGCGCCGGCATTTTCGCTGCCTCGGTAAGCGAGGGCAGCGCACAAAAATGCTTGTGGCGGCCATTTTGGGCACCCGGCGGCCATTTTGGAACCGCCGATCAGCTGTTCTAAAAACATCGCAATGCGAAGATTGGTAAGCGAAACGCTTACCGATCATCGCAATGTGATGTTTGCCCATTCAGAACATCGCAATGCGAGCGCATTAGCGATCCCAAAAAATAGATCGCTATGCGGACTCGTCGTTAAACGGTGCGCTCGTTATGCGAGGCACCACTGTATATGGATCCCTGGCTATGCTTATGCTTAGACTCTATTATACCCACTGCTCTATTTACACCAACCTCACTCCCAGTGCTATTTTCCCACCTGCTTTTTTTTAAAGTGGAAGGGCTGTTGTAAGGCAGTTCCCTAAGGTAACTGCGAACTGAAGACTTTATCATATTCCATGTAAGCTCCCCTCAGAGAGGTCTTGCTGTACTTGCTGTTATTGGTTTCTGATCTCTGACTAGGGACACTCCATGTTATTGGAAGAGAAATCTCATTACATCGTACACACTCGCACACTTCATTATTTACACAATCAAGCCCTCGCCACCAATGTATTCCTCCAAGCTGGGGCCTGAAGTGAAACTGGGCTGTGTTCCGTCACAGTTGTCAGTAGGATACTAAATCTAACAGGCTATTAAAAAATCATTTTTTCCAAGCGAAAACAATAACATTAATATTATTTTAGAATGCCATTACTGAGGACCACAGAGGAAGAAATATTTTTCCTCATGATCTGTTCCAGGGCTTTTTTTCTGGAAAAAGCTGTAGTGATCCTAGAAACATATTGTTGTGGTCTGCCAAAAGCTTTCCAACTTTGGCAGGTCCAAAGCAATGAGACTTTTATAAATGAGGTGAGAAACAAACTCTGAAAGAATTCCCTCCTTTCACCTTGACAAGTCTTGTTGCAATGGCTGATGTTAATGGTGTGTTAGTTAGACCTCGCAATGGACGCTACATTTTCATTTTCCTTTTAGTCTTCTGCCACAGGGCACAGAAATGTTGATTTCTATCCCAGGCTGCTGGTGAGGCCCTGCCTTACAGAGGCTGCTTGCGGGTCCTCTCATTATTTAAGCCAGCCATTCTCAACCTTTTTTTTTTTTTGGCAAAGGCCATAAACACAACATGACAATATGTTTTATGAGCTGATCACCCGACCGTAACAAATAAATTCATTCATTCAATATGAGAGAAATAAAAGCTGAATCAGGATTATATAAGTCACGTAATGAACCTTATAAGGTGGTGTGTGAAGAATTGTTTCCAGTCTGTGGCCCCCTTCAAATGTGCTAGGTCCATTCCAGAAGGGACCATGTGACCCCCGTCGAGAATGGCTGCAAGCCATTCTACCAGAAGACACCATCTGTGGGTGGGCTTGGAGCTATCCCTGCTCAGTTATCCTAGTGTCCCTCTTCCCCTACTCTTGTCTTTCCTCAGGGCACTCCAAGCACCAACCTTCCCACTTAACCTTTCCTTCTGTTGTAATTTAACACCCACTTAAGGAAAATGCCAATCAACAGACATTTCAGCATGGCTTTATTTATAAATTTGCTTTGGATGCATGTGGCATTTCTCTATGGACCATGCTTGTGACTTCCAGGAAGTTCTCTTCCTTGTACAATTAACTCTGCAGATTAATCTTTATCAGAGCTTAATAAATACACTACCACAATGCAGCTGAATTGAGGGATTTATAAATCCCCATACCTTCATTGATAAAAGCTTAAAAAGGAATAGACCTTCTTTTACATAATACTGTGCATTTATTTGGCATATAGGATCTATGAGAATGATTTGTTCCTTTAGAACAAGAACTTGTAAGCATAATATAGGCATTAAACCGAGAATGCGAAGATCAGAGAACAAAAATGTCTACTAGGAATGTGCTGTTGGACTGCAACTCCCATCATCCCTGACTTTTGGCTGTGCTGGTCTGGGGCTGATAGAAGCTGTAGTTGACAACATCTTAAGGACTACAAATCCCTCACCTAAAGAAGAACTCTTCTTTGTGGAACAAAGCATGATAACTACTGTGGGCTTGGATACTGAAGCAAATTTGACTTTCTCCATGCAACTGTAGTTCACCATATAACCACACTGTTCAGTCCATTTAAAACCAATGAAAGCAGAAATTAGAGGGTTCTGAAGTAATGTGCCATGGAAGTCCCACCAGAATGAATACTACACATACTCACAGCAAGTATGTGTACAGTTAGAAATTTTGGTCACAAATCCAATACTTGTGTGCTTGTTCATGGATGATCAAGCTAAACATGTGTGTTCTGGGCTGTATCACAATATAAATAGGGTTTTTAAGGTTTAAGTGACATCATAATTAAGGAGTGGTTGTACCCGTTCCACTCCCCTAGTGAGTTTCCATGGCTGAGTGGGAATCTGAATCCTGTTCTCGAGTCCTGGTTCGCCACTCTGTCTGCTTCACCACACAGGGAATCCTAGACATGGGGAAATACTATTGTCAGTGATAAAATGAATCAGTCCTTTTACTGAATATGTAAACTCACTTTCAGCAGAGGTGTACATTTAATACATTTCCAACTGACTTGCTATTTTAATTGCAACTCCTGTTGTTTAAGGCAATGGCCATGATTTTGTTTTACCCCAATGGGTATGACAATCTGTTTTGACCTGCGCTTAAGTGCTTTTCACACATCACATGGGAGAAACCACAGTTAGCCAGTATGTAGACAGTCAAAAGGGAGCTGCAGCCTTGATGAAATAATACCGAAATAACAGACAGGTTTGTTGTACACATTCTTGTACACCTACAGAATATGATGCAGGAGAAAGCCTTCGGAGGGCACTAAAACATCTGTGCAAATGTCTTTCAAGACCTTATATTTGAGTGGTGGCACAATAATATTAATAATAAAACAAACAAAAATGAATGCTTAAAGGTGATAAGCGCTTCTTATGGATGACCCCATAATGAATTGCAAAGCAGACACAACTCTGAAAGGGGAATGAAGTACAATTTTGATTTGCCTTTTTTTATCTAATCTAAGCAACTTTTTTTCCTCTCTAAAAATTACTGCTGTAATCCTTCCAAAGCTTTTCTTCCCTTTCTCTCTTAAATAGTCTAAATATTTTCATTAATATCTCTCTAAAGAAAATATGTTTTTAACAATAGCATTTACATTAAATAATATATATATATACACAGACACTGTTTCACAATGTGCTGTTTTTGCTCCTTGGCTTCGACTTAGTGAAAATCCAGATGTGGCTCAAGCGTTCCCTGGAAGAAGCCTTCTGAATGTGTCAAAGGCACCCTATAAGCATTACATGTTCACAATGTGCTGTTTTTGCTCCTTGGCTTTGACTTAGTGAAAATCCAGGTGGGGCTCAAGCGTTCCCTGGAAGAAGAAGCCTTCTGAATGTGTCAAAAGCACCCTATAAGCATTACATGTTTTTTTCAAAACACACAGAAACTGACCACAAGACGTGGGCTAACCAGAAGCCTGTCTTTTGCAGAAGCACAATGGAATCTGATGTTGAATTCTGTTCCCTGCTGTAGTGGGTCCCATGGCTACTGTGCTCTCTTCTGACTAAAAACCACAGCTTGCTATCAGATGCAGCCCTAAGCACCACTGCAATACTTAGATAATCCAATTAGGTACATAGTTCTCTGCACTAGGGAGTGTTCCTTCTAAATGTACAGGGTTGGCAATTCAGGATTAAATGCATTGAGGCCTTTTCCTTCAGCTATCCAAAACTGAGTTTTCCTCATATAATTCAGGAGGACCTGGATTTGACGCCTAGTCACAGATAAGAACCATCACAGAGCACAATTTTAAAAGCCGAGCCTGGTGGTTAAGCATCAATTCTTACATTGGTGCACAAGGCATACCACCATATAAACATCTATGATGACAACTTCATGACTATTTGCAAAGTTTGCCCTTTGTATATGCTTATATAAATAACACACTCCTATGAAAAAATGCATATTCTTTACAACTATACAGGATTAATAGGGTGGGTAGACTTTTAACTTGATTTCTTAAGAGTTTATTCAACGTTGTGTCCCATTGTATCATTTGCCTTTTGTAGACCTTCAAAGAGGTTGAGTCCTTTTCCCACCTCAGTACTCCCTTGCTTCCTGAAATTGTCTGTAATAGTCCTCCTCTGAAGGATTCTCTGTACATTTCTGGCCGTTATTAGGCGGCCGAGCTTCATTATATCTGCTCCAGTCCCCTTTGCAAATGATCCAGGGCAGAATGTCCACTTTGTAATGGAGTTCTGCGGAGAATTCTATGCTGATCAGGTTAGGAGTGCCTGCGCCTTTGCCCCTCGTAATCAGCTGCATGCTGTCGTCGTAGCAGCAGTGCTGTGCTGCTAGTGTGGTACTCTCCAAGGACAGCATGGACCGGATACAATAGCGAGCTGTCGGCTTATAGATCTCCAGCTTCTCCTTTGGCCCACTTGCATCTTTCCAGCGGAAGTTCTTCCGCTTAAGCCGGTCGTAGATATCCGCGGTACTGTAGGCAACTTCTGTGGGGTACGAGCAAGGGCAAGCGGGAAGGTCGTTGACCACTTTGTGCATGTACTTCTTCAAGAACTCACTTTTGCAGCTCATCCACCGTTCACAACTGTCAGTATCTGTGGAGAAGAGGAGAGACTGAAGGCTAAACCTGTGGTGCTTAATTTACAAATTAACATCTTGCTGTGCCTCAGAGATGAAAAGTGTGTTAGTGAGTACGTATGTCACAATAACTGCTTCCAGAGTGCTTAAGGTATGTGGCACAGCACATACCTTAGGCACTCTGGAAGCAATTATTGGAATAGCACTAGAGCTCTCTAATACTGAAGTATTAGGGTTACTGGAATAGCACTAAAACTCTCTAATACTGAATTCTCAGTCTCTCAACAAACTTACAGAATCCAAACATTCCACAGGATGGAGCCATGGCAGTTAATGATATATCAACCTGCTATAACTGTGTGCTGCGTAGAGAGACACTCTATTACACAGGTGCTGTGGTGCAGTGTCAGTATTCTTATCTCCACTTTCCCTCTTCACATCTAGTGACAGAATACGTTTAAAATACAGCAACAGGGTCTACGGTTCAGCCAGCATCACTTCCCAGTGTTGGAAGCATTGCTTTGCCTTCTATCCTGAAAGCATGCTTCTGTGGAACTCTCTTCTAAAGCGTTTATGTTTGTGAGCCTCAGCTGAGACTTTTGAAAGGGGACCTTAAAAAGCTACCTTTTTCAAGCTGCGTTTTGCCGGAGTGCTGGTCTGCATTTTGAATCATGTCATGATCTGCCATGCTACTGATTTTAAACTGTTTCAGCGGTTAAAACAGTTCACAGGCCAAAACGATCTGTAAAATTAAATGGCTGTTTTAGGTAACTAAGGGCTCATCCAGATGAACCCTCTGTTCCTTCCTCTCGTTGAGCCATTTGGTGCCTAAGGAGCATGGATCTTACTGAGATTTCTGTCCACTTTAAGAGTATAACTCCACTGTTCTTTATTTTAAGAAATCACCTCCTTTCAAGAAATGATTTAAGATTTCAGAAATCCACAACAAATGCTTGAGAAACATCTTGTCTATTAGATGTCTGCTTTGTTGTTCTTTCAGTAGATTAGTGCTAAATTAAAAACTTCCGCTCAGAGAAGCTCTTGCTCACTGGACTCTACCATCCCTCAGAAGAAAGTGAGCACACATGCAAACAAACACCAGTAGTAGGAGTTATTTTTTTTTAAAATCTGGGAAGCCCGAGGTTTTGACACTGTTTGCTACTAATTTAAGCCTTGTGTTATCTGGACAGCGGGGAAAATGTCAGTATCGTAAGCACTCTACTGAGTATATACAAGATTGAAAATGCTCCACCTGGATGATCCCTGAATATTGTTAAAATGTCTTTCTTAAAATTATTTCTGTAAGCTGTTTCATAAAAGCTTTGGTCCAGAAATATCTAAATAGGACAATGCGTGAATCTAGTTCCTTCCAATGTATTATTTACACAGTAGTGTCTCACAAGAGATATATGTCAGTTTCACTGTCAATTTGTGATGCCAACTGTTCTTGCTGAAGGTACTGTTGCTGAAAGCACATTTCATAGCTGTACTGAAGCTAAGGCTGGTGCACCATCAGGGCCTATTCCCACAGATCCTGGATATGGCCAAAGTGTCACATACCCTTGCATTCTATCTAGACTAGCATGACATGCTCTATGTGGGGCTGTGCTTGAAGACTACTGAGAAACATCATCTGGTCCAGAATGCTATATCCAGATGGTGGTTGGTTACAGAAGGCATGCAACTTTCTTGTTACAACCATTTCACTAGCCATCTGTCTGATGACAGGCACAAGAGAAAAGTCTTGTTATGACATATACAGCCCTGTATGGCTTAGTCTAGGCTTTCTGAAGGACCACCTTCTTCCACATGTGCTTGCTTAGATTTTAAGATTTTCAAGGGAGGTATTTCTTTCAGTCCCACCACTCTAACAGGCATATAAGAAAGGGAAGAAGAGACAAGGCTTTCTTAACAGCTGCTCCCAGATTCTGGAAATGTCTGCTATATGAGGCTAGGTCTTTTTATTGTGCTTCTGCTGGGAGACACAATAACTTTTGTAAGACTTCTTTCTGGCCTTTTAAAGTTGGTTTGCTCACTGAAGAAGATTTTAACTGGTGGGTTGCAGTTTATTTCTTTTCATTGCTGTGTTTTAAAGTGATATTTTGTTTTTGTATTTGCATTTTATTTTTATTAGCCACTTGGGTCTATTATGATTGTTTTAGAGAGAAAACAGCACTGAAACAATAGGAGAAACCTGGGTGAGATTTTAAAAAATGTAAGGACTATTTATATAGAAAGTTAAGTGTTTGAGAATAATTCCAAAATATACCAACATTTGTGAACAGTCATTACATTTATCTTACCTCGTAAAGGCCCTTTGAGTGTTCCTTCCCCCTGCCATTTTGGTGAAGTGGCAAGATACATATTTTAAAAATAAATATATAAAATTTGGGAAAATCTGATGGCTGCTGCGTGTTCCTGGGTTGATGTGCATAGGGATAGGGGTGGATGGGATAAAAAGTATGTTGAGACTAATCTGAGACCTCACCCTCCCACCACCACCACACAGTCTATAGGCAGTGTCCGATGATTCCTCAAGAAAGGTCTTTTCTCTGCTACTCTATCACTGGCACATAGCGTGCTTTATGAAGTATGTTTATCTCATCCAGTTCTGGAAGAAAATACCCTCTGCTAAATCTGCTTACCAACTTCAAACAGTTTTGTAGCATTGAATTCTTCGCTTCCCGCAAGTAAACTCATTTCTGTGGCTGCTGTCCTGAAGGTGTCTTCGATTCCTAAAGAAAACAGTTTTTCCCCTTAATATAAATAATAAAAGTTGGAAGAAAAACATGTACTTGCATCGGTATTCCAGCAGTGCTTGCTCCTCTCCCATGACATTCATGCTTTTTCAGTTCAGAGGGAGAGAGAGAGAAAGCACAAGAGAATGAAATTTACTTCTTCATCCCAGGAAAAACACCAAGTTCAAATTGAGCAAAAAAAGCACATCAAAGCTCATCTCATTTACACACAGAGTCTCTTCTCTTTGACACATTTCAAATGGTCTTGAGATGAGCACAGAGCCTTAATACTTCTTTGTGCTGTTTTAAGAACAGGCCAAATGTTTCAGGCTTCATTGATCATCACAGAACTCTTAGTAATTGAAGCAACTAAAAACAAAGTAGGACAGTTTTTCATTATTTCGTGCTCGTACTGCCAAGCCAACCAAGTGTTGTGTGTACAGTTTCCAACTGTTCCACTAGTCCATTTTTATTTTATTTTATTTTTATATTAAATAAAAGCCAGCATGTACTACTGGTGTTACAGGCTTATGTGACTAACGCGTACTGTGGTGCTAACGTTGAAGATACTGATATATTCAGCCTTTAAAAAAAAACCCAGCCCAACAGAGGAACTGAAAAGATCACTTGGAGATGTTTCTCTCCACTGTGCGGGAGCCACGTATTGTAGAGAACAAAGGACCTCACTGTAAGGGTAAAGAAAAGACTGATTGAAAGCAAACCCCCAGAATTATCATGGCTGAGTCCATTGAAAGATCTCCCAACCACAGGGACGTGAATCCCCATTATGAACTAGGAGAACATCTTGGGAGATACAGCTATGATGATGCAGGTAGGTATCTGTACTCCTGGCAGATGAGGCATTCAGGTAACCTGGTCTGAAGACTATCCTGGCTTCAAGATCATTTCTTGTAATTTGATTCTTCTCAAGGGACATGCGTTTTAAGAGAAAACCCCTGGTAAGGCTTGCTCATTTAATGGTCCTGTTTAGGGTGTAAGTGAGGACTGCACTTCTCAGACTTCCATCCCTTTCAATCAGATTCAAGGGCATTTGTGAAGAAAGAGGGGGTGGTGGTCAAAAGCTAAAAACACCACCAACCCAACCCAATGTTATTTTATTGTGGACTGGTTGTGCCTTGGGATCCTTAAATCAAGGAACCAACAGTTTTACATAAGCAGTAACTGTGAAACTTTTTGCACAGTCCAAAACCCCCTCATACTTAGCCATTTTAAAAATTATTTCCATTTCCACCACCTCAGTGGCATTCAGCCTTTGCACTAAACCTGGAATTCTGGAGCAGTATTCAGAGAGGTAGTCATTTTCAACTGTTTCTGAAAAAATGGGGGAAAAAGTTTCATGGCACTTTTAAGTCTAACACATTTATTTCAATGTGAGCTTTTGAAGATTACATTCCATTGCTTCAGACATCATTGTGTCCTTGAAGAAGTGGATTCTAACTCATGAAAGCTCACAGTGGAATAAATCTGTTAGTTTGAAAGGTGCCACCATATTTCTCCTTGTTTTCTTTTTCTTAATTCTGGAGCCATAGTAGCAGTAAATTATCTGTATAAAGTCAAGCCTTAAATGCCTGTACAAACATTTCCCCCCTCCTTCAGATGTAGGCTGAACATTTAAAAAAAAAACCATCTTCAGTATTGTAGTCAAGCCTTAAATGCCTGTACAAACATTCCCCCCTCCTTCAGATTTAGGCTGAACATTTAAAAAAACATCTTCAGTATTGTAGCAGTACGACACTGGAACCAATGACCTCGGGAGGTGGTGAGTGCTCCAATGCTGAAGGCATTCAAGCGAAGATTGGACAGCCATTTGTCAGATACACTTTGATTTGGATTCCTGCATGGGAATCGATGGCCTTATAGACCCCTTCCAACTCTATGATTCTAAGTTCCTCTTTGCTGTTGCTCCAGGCACGCAGTAACACAACAAGTCTATGTTGCTTTTCAGAAGAGTTGCCTTCGCCGCAAAGGGTTGCAGGCGTTGCTGCCCAGCGTACAAAATACACAGACAGCTTGTTACACTAGAAATCCAAGGACCCATAATGAGGCCAAAATTCACTGACACACTGCTAGATGCCTTAAAACAGTCATGTGAAGTTTTTGCTCTTGAAAGTGTAAAGTGCCAGTGTGACTTAAAAAGGGTGATTCTTTGGTTGATTGAAAGGCTTGGCAGCAGCGCTTCTATACCTATGGAGGAAGCAAGGCACTCACCCCAGTTCTATTACAGTTTCTCCACTCCCCCCCCTCCCCACATCATAGGACTGCTCAGTGAATGAGCACATTCTAACAGTGAATTGGGGCAGGGATCCTTGTTGCGACTCCATACCTTTCAAGTGAGCTCCTGGTTTGGGTCACAAGAAACAATAACGTCTTGAAGGCTGCCATGGGTTCCCTAGCTGAAGTTCTATTTCTAAGAAAGCACCACGAGGGGGCCCAGTGTGGAACATTCCAGGGGCGACCCACATGCTCTGAATGAAGGGCTCCTTGTCTTCCACTATAATCAGCTACGCTCCATCTGAGTCATTTGGCTAAGACCCTTCATAGCTGTCTTGATTGCCTCTGTTTGAAAACTCCTGTGTATTATTTTCTCCTATGCTCTGAAACCTGGTGTCACTGAACAAACTCCAAGACACCCTCTTTTCTGGTGTCCTCCCCCCGAAGCCAGGCCATAATTGAGAAAGCAACTGCAATGTCAAGGACACTCAAATTCTTGCAGGACCCCATCGAGTGCACCTTTCAAGTAATGTGGTGTCCTCTTGGCTGATTATCTGCTGGCACCATTGAAGGCCTGCCCATGAATAATGTTGCTGAAGGAGCTTCAGAAGGAAATGCATTTGATTCAACAGTCGTTTCTGGAAGGCACAGCAAAGCTGATCATTCTAAATATTTGGGGCAAAATCCTACTTCTTTTAACTGTGAATGAAGTGACCATTGTTGCTGATGTTTATACCACAAGGGTACTGACTTTTCCCTTGGGCACACAGAAACCCTCTTGCTTTCAATGAGACACTCTACCTAGCAAAACTGCAAACCGGAGATTGTACAGGGAGCTTCTTAGCATGCAACCATTATGCTCTGCATTTCCAGGTCAGATTCCGACCTTAGTGGCTTCAACGTCTACGGTGTAAAAGTGAACATAATGTATTTTGTTGGCAAAGGATGGCAACCAGTACTCTGGTCAGTTGAGACAGTCAAGACAGTTGAGCAAAGCCTAACCTGGACAGTTTGGCCTGTCGCATGTCCTCGATTCAGTGGCTGTACAGGCATATCCACAGGTTCGGGTACGCTTCTGATTGCCACTTCCACACGTTATGCTACAAATGGACCAAGGGCTCCAGTCTCCTTCACCGTCTATGTAATCTGTAAGGCAAAAGCAAGAAAGGGGGTGGGGGGGAGGAATGGTTAAAAAAGGGAGGGGGCTTATTTGAGGTGGGTATGAACCACTGATTCAGCAATTTGTACCAGTTCATTTTTTGTCTGAACAGATATTTGGCACTTCCCAGCTCTGCCTCCTCTGGGCAGGGGCCCACTTAGAGGCAGCGCCCCAGAGAAGATGAGCATCTGCCAGAGGAGATGGGTCTGGGAAGCTCCGAATGCCTCTTTGGATGAACATGAGGTTTGTGCCTATCTCTAGTGCTTATAAATGTCGATGCAGAAAGGAATTTTTTCCCCTACTGCTAACTATTTGGGATATTTGTTTGCACACATAGAAAATCTCTAAGAAAACTTTGCAGTGAACTTTACAGTGTTCACAGTGAAACAAACCATTTTTGAGGATACTTTATTCCACACCTTCACCAGTTGTTCAATTCAACACACACACACTCCAAAACTGTTAGACAGCAAGCTTGATCTTTAGTTAGGTTAGTTCTAACTAACATGCTTTCAGCTCCAATTACAGCTTATATATAAGGTCTGCTTTTACCTTAAGAATGCTTATTTGAAGACTGAGTTCTCTATAAGTATACTTGAGACTATACATGACCTCCTTTTTAAGTCTAATTTCCACTTAACTCTTCCATCCCATATGATTCATGGGCAACAGTACCTGACAGTACCTTTCTCTTACCCTCATCTGTACAACACTGTTATAATCCTAAAATGTCCGCAAGAGCATTAAAATGCACACTCACCATATTCTGGCTGTTCCTTTGATTCAAACGTCCGATGACTAGGTGTATGCCTGTCCCATGCGCCACTAAGTGGGTTAAGGAAGTTACTGTCTTCAGTTGTACTATCATATTTATAATCCTGATCACCGCTGCTCATGCGGGTGATGGAGGGTTTCTCCAGCAAGGTATCAGAGATGATGGTTTCTATATTACTGGCAAATAAAGAGTATATGGCAGATTTTAACCAAGTATTCATAAGAGCCTTTCCTTTGCATTGTTTCATAAGAGCCTTTCCTTTGCACTGTTTGGAAACCAGTAAACTAACATTCATATTGGTCCAAACTGTACTTACATGGTGGAAACTAATTTAAAAAACAACAACAATTAGCTGATTGTTGTAGGGTTTTTGGGCTGTTTGGCCGTGTTGTGGAGGTTTTTCTTCCTAACATTTTGCCAGTCTCTGTGGCCAGCATCTTAAGAGGACATTTCTTTATCTACAATCTCAGACATAATACAGTGGTGCCTTGATTTACGAAGTTAATCCGTAATGGAATGGTGTTCATAAGTCAAAACATTCGTAAGTCAAAGCAGCATTTCCCATAGGAATGCACTGAAACCCAATTAATCCGTTGTTGTTGTTGTTGTTGTTGTTGTTGTTGTTGTTATTGTTATTATTGTTGTTGTTGTTATTGTTGTTGTTGATGATGATGTTGATGTTGTTGTTGTTATTATTATTGTTATTGTTATTAAAACCTACATCGTCGTCGTCATTGTCGTCATCATCATCATCAAAAAGATTAATCAAACAAAGGAAGGTTGAGAGTAATGAAACATAAAGACAGAAGATTTTTTAAAAAGTTTATTAGAAGGTATGTTGATAGACACAGCTTTCCCCCACTCCAGTCAGGTAATCTGCTTCTAGGATTAAAAATAAAATAAAATAAAAATCTGTATTGTGAAAGTTTATGAAGGATGCAAGAGCTTGGCCTCTTTGGCACTTGGTCAACCAAAAGAGAGAAGGTGGGAGAAAAGTAGGAATATATGGAGGAGGAAAAAAAAACGCCTTGATGATGTCTGTGATGAATAGTGGGTTGTGGAATCAAAAAGGTGATAGACGACTGTTTTCTGAGAAGACAGACCTAGAACATGTCAGGAGGGAAGGGAGGAGCTACTGTACCTGAGCCTGAAAAGTTAAATTGCAGAGACCTTAATAGGATAAATAATGGTTTTAAACCCCAAATATAATTCCTGCTATTTTGACTTTCTTTTTAATCCCTTATGATTTGATACAGCACTGGAGTTTTGTATCCACAGGAAGAACTGAGGTAAATTCTTTCCTTAGATTTTTTTTTAAAAAACCCTACCAGAATAAACTATAAAATGCACCCAGGATATGGTTTTCTTTTCAAATCTCTCTCTCTCTCTCTCTTTTAATTTCCCAGTCTGGGAGCAGTTAATTGATGTCACAAATCTAGAATTTTTTGTCGTTTCTCCCCACTCTGGTTGAATTAGAAATACAGGCCCTGTAACCAATTTTTGCACTCTGCCTGTATGAGTTTGAAACTACAAATTCTTCTCATACGTTTGGATCCAAAGGAGTTCAGAATTCTAGCAAAAAGCCTCATATTATGTTCAGTTGGTTTTTGGAGACAGCACAAAGACAAACATCCCAGCACATATTTTAGTATCTAGAATGTGTGTGCACGCGAGCGCATGCACTTTGTGTGTGCATATATATCAGTTTAGAGATGAACACATTTTATGTATCATTTTGGGGGGAAAAGAGCAAATTAAGGAAGGAAGCACGAACTATTGAACACTGAGATACAGTGGCAAAAAGAGAGGGTTTAAATAAGACAAGTCTAGTAGGTCTTTTGAATATAGAAAAATAAAAGAAAACATAAAACTAATTGTTGTGTTTGCACCAAATTATCATTGAGTATTCCAGAGAACCCTGGCTTCTCATGAACACATGGTACACACTGATGATGGAAGCCCAACTGTTCCTGTTTTGCTCCTTCCAGCTAAGCCCACATGTAAATGGGCTGCAAACGAATCACAAACTGGAGGCACACCCTTTGAACAAGTGATCTGGCCTTGTTGTTCTCTTACCTGCAGATTCACAAATTTTCCTCATTTTGTTCTTGGTGGATGAATCCTACCTTATAAAGAGAGTGGTTTAATGGGAGCAGTGCAAGGTGTTTCATAGCTCACTAATGTAGGGTATAAAAGAGTCATGTGCAAGTATGAGGAACAGATCTAAAGTGCTATATGCCTCACTGAACTAGAGCTCTCTTCCAGGTACTGTACATTGTTATCCTCAACTGGTTGGTATATTGATAAAGAGAGGGAAAAAGTGGTGGAATTCACTGTACAGTTTAAATCTATACACTGAGTGATCATTCATAACTGTGTAATCATCAGCAGGTAAGCAAACCACTGTTTCAGTTCATGCCTGCAACAAACACAGTCAGACTTCCTGATGAGTTCTAATTCAACAATTTCATACGGCTGTCTCATTTTAAAACTCCTTGTGCAAAATGACAAAGGGTAAGGACTTGTTCCCTCACCATCTCTTCTGGTCCGTATAGGTTCTCTAAGATAAAACTTTCTACTCCTAATAGAGATATTCATTATCACGATAATGGTGCGATAACCAATGATGGAGAGTGAACGGTCTTTTTCTTTTGTACATTTAAGCTTTACATTGAATTGTGTATGTCATATACTTCTTTGCAGTTCTTATAGACACGTTGGTAGGTGCCGACTGAAGGAAACACTTTGCACAGAGCTTGCCACACGGGTTATGGTGCATGACATCTCATGCCATAATAAATTCCAGAAGTCTCTGCTATTTTTTGCTGCGACCCATTAACGCAGCTACTGCTTTGCAAGTGTGGGAAACAGTGACTGAAAATTTGGAAGAATAAAAGAGCTCGAACGAAGAAGTGTGGTACCAACATCCTTGGAATTAGACCACGTTTAAATGGGCTAGAAAAGCAAAAAGAACATCACAGGGAAATTCATTCGGCAGCCAAGCCTGCTCGCTTGACACATGACTTCACTGCATTCCGAAGGAGAAGAAAAGTGAACCTGTAGCACACTGAATAGCTTCCGCTTTGCTGGCATGACCGCATGAGCTGGCATGTGTCAAATCAATGGTGAACAACAAAGAGCTTTTCACCAAGAACCAAGAAATCTTTGCTCCCAAAGGAAACACATTTCTGCCTTGAAGAAAGCACCTTGTTTTCAAGAACTTCCTGTGAATTCGTTTACTTGAGTGCAGCGGTGCGTTTGGCTGCTGGTTTGGCAACCAAGTTAAAAAGGCAGCTGGGTAGCACAAAAGTGGCAGCTGCTTGGGCTACCCTTTGAAATGTTTTCTTGTCTTGCTGACACTGAAACAACTGTGCAAACTGCAGGGAGGATGAATAATAATATGCCCCAGTATTGTAAAAACGATCCAGCCCAATAGTCAGTCAACAGAAAAGTCCCAGATTCATTCTGACCAGCAATAGATTCCTTCTGTGGTTTGGTTCTACAAATTTGGTTCTACAAATTTGGTGTAAAAAGATGGGCCAGTGACTGCCTGCTGTCTTCTATTGTGAATACTCACCTGCCATCATTGTGTGAAGGCCAAAACATGGGGGCAGGGGTGGGAGAAGTATGTGAGGGGGAGAGGGGAAAAAAGGTGATGCAATGTGTACGTTGCTACCTGAAAATGCATTCTATAATACAGCACCAACTCAGAAGTAAAATAAATTATTGGGCTTTGTCCTACAAAAGGCTACACGTCAGGAACTCAAGAAGCTGTCTTCTACAGAGTGAGACCCTTAGTCCACCCAACCCAATATTACAGATACTGACCACCAGCAGTTCTCCTGGATTTCAGCCAAGATTCACCCTAATCCTCCCTGGAAAAGCCAGGGGTTGAAACTGCAACCTGCCAGGCATGTACCTACTGTTTGGCTAGATATAGGGAGATCATATTAAATTTTAGACATGAAATTCAGCTTCATGTAATCTGGACGTTCAAGGTGATCAACTCCAGGAGAACATGCTTCAGATATTTTCTTTTGTTCCTGTTATGTATTTTGTCTTTGTTTCAAATGTTCTGTAGCCTATTTGGTTTCAAGTCCGTCCTGGAGGTCCTTTAAGAAATTTTAAGCCATCTTCAATACAAAAGCTCTAGGGGAAGATAGTCCATTCAAGCAATTTCAAAAAAGCCGTTCTCTAAAATGTGAGCAATGTAACACTAGTGAAATCTTCAGTCAGTGAATAACATTCAAAAAAGCTTGTTATCAGCCAGCTGTGTGACTTTACTTCAACTTAACTGTGCAACCTTCTGTAAAAATTTGTTTAAATGTTGTCTTTTTAGTATTTTACAATACAGTGGTGCCTCGCTTAACGAGTGCCTCGCTCAACGATGAATTCGCATAACGATGGCCTTTGCTGGAAATTTTGCCGCCTCACCTAACGATGTTTCCTATGGGGGATTTTCGCATAACGATGTTTGGGACCTTGCTTCACTTAACAATGACAGTTTTAGGTCCCCTGTTTCGCTTAACGTTTTTTTGACAGCCCTGTTTTCGCTATTTTAAAAATATTCTAAAATGTTTAAAAATGTTTAAAATGCTTGGAAGCGTTAGTGCACCTAATAAAACCTTCGTTAAAGTAATTTGGCTTCGTTCTGAGTCTTTTTGAATTTTTTGTGATTTTTTTTTACCATTGAAATGTATTGAATAGGCTCCTATTGGAACGGATTAACCGGTTTTCAATGCATTCCTAGGGGAAATGGTGTTTCGCTTAACAATGTTTTCACATAACGATGTTTTTAATGGAACCAATTAACATCGTTATGCGAGGCACCACTGTATATATATTACTTTGAGGTTAGAAACATTCCTCTCCAGCAGATTAGTCAAAGAGAATATACATACTGCTTAATTCACTAATGCTCCCAGCTGTGTTATACATTCTTAACTCCAAAATGGCAAACACAGAAATTAAACAAGCAACTTCCTTTTTTTCCCTATACATGCTTTTTCCAAGTTCTTTTACCTGTTCCCCCAGGTTGTAAGGTTTTGTGACAGGTCACTTATTTCCTTTGACATTGCACATGACATAATCATTGTTGTATTATAAAGTTTCATATATTCTATTTAGTTTACTTTATAAGTCCAAGGTCTTTTAATTTTTAAGTCCAAATAGTCAACATTGCGTCCATAAGAAATGACAGATTCAAACCCCAAATCGGCTTTGGGTAACATTTTAAACAGAGTAGAAGACTTTTACCTGAATATTTGGGTTTTGCCCATTGATGTCTGCTTTAGAGAGGTCAGGAAAATTCGGTAGATCTAGAAGAAAAGACCTGGGTCCATCTCTTTGCACAGACGTACGCCTATTCTCTGGCCTGAATCGCTGCTTGGCAAATGATCTGTGTGCGGCTTGATGGTCGTGATAATCTTGTCTGTCTCCTGGATTTAATGTGAACAAAGTTTCAGGAGCTGAAAGACTATCACTCTGGAGGATGTCCTAGGTAGGCAAAGAAAAAAATAATAAAGCAACATGCAGGGATTAACAATGCCTTGTAGAGTGCCTTCCATAAGAATGCCTCTTAAAACACAGCGCGAGGGTTTGTACAAAAAGAATGCACAGTATCTTGCAAAAACACGAGAATGTGTTTGGATTTCAGATCTCTTTTCTGAGACATGTGTGAGCATCTTGTGCTATGTCAGAAACAATTCTTCCACACATGGATAATATTTTTTTGTCTGTGGAAGGAAACATCTGGATCTAGACTATAATACAATGAATCCATCAAAAGTGTTATCCTAAGTAAGGGGATACTTAGGATTTTTTATTTATTTATTTTAAAACCAGGCTACTGAGAAATGATTCCCGTGTGACACCTGTGCAAGGCTCTCAAGTTCAACAATTCCTGAGTCAGGAAGGATAGTTCGTTAACAAGGAGGCAGGCTATCTTTAAGGGTGCCTTGTGTCTTAGTCCTACACTCTGTTACTATAAATAAAAAACATTAAGGGTGCAAGAATTGCCACATATGCACCTTAGGCAAGACTGGCTCTTCCCCTGCATTGCAGAGGCAGGAGAGTTTCACCGTGGAAACCCCAATCCTGCCACATCACGTGACTTTTACAGCATTCCAAGAGCAATGATTTTGAAGGAAAGTGGCTTGCATATGTTCTGTAAGTAAACCTAGGGTTTGCCCCTTGTTAGTTGAGGTGTTTAGCAGTTTGGCAATTTTAGCAGCTTAAGTCTAATATGAACCAAGATGTCTTCAACTGCATTTATGAAAACAGCAAGATTAAACTGGGAAAGGAAAGGTGCAATCTACAAAGATCTTGGAAGTGGAGAAAAACTGCAAAGCAGTAAGGAAGGGTAGAAATTTTTTCCCAGTGCTTAATTTTTCCACAGAAAAAAAATCAATTCCTTTTTTAAAAATTGTTTTAATTAAATTTCTTAAGATCAATGAGTTGATGCCAAGCGAATTCAATTTGAAATAGAGCCAAATGGTGCCAGTGATTTAATGAGCAGTGACAGTGAAACTGGAAGTACCTTTATGACCTAAGTGGAAAAGAGTACATTTTATTGGAAGCAGAGAAGTGGACAACCACAATCTAAATTTCTAAATTGTACTGGGTGTGCAAATACTAATACCACTACTACTACTACTAATAATAATAATAATAATGCAGTGTCATATTTAGCACCGTAATTTAAATGTAAACAAATGACAGAAGGGAAGTGCACTTTCTTATTCAGAATTAAAGACAAGTATCCTAATAAAAATAATTTCTTCCTAATATTGGAATTTGTTTGAAAATAACATCAAACCCACATTAAATATGCTTTCCCCTTCCAATAAAACATTTTCACTCAAACAGTTATGGGCTGGTGGGAGCTTAAGATCTTCTGTTTAGTAAATATAATCCAAATAAACCAGATCATGGCACTTGACATTTTTCAGGGGAAATTACCAATTTAATTTTTGCCCCCTAGAAAACCCATATCACTGCTGCAATAATTACTTTTCAGCATCCACAATGACCCATTCAAATTTGAGAGGCTGAAGGTCCATTGAAGAACTATCTCAAATCTTGCCACCAAGGATCCTTTCCAAGCATGTACCCTTCCACTCAACTGTGTGGTTCCAGTATCAAACTCTAAAACAGAATCCATGCGTCATGTCATATATTCACAAAACCTAAAACATCTTGTTGCTTACATGTTCCAAGAAGTTACTTTTTGATTTCTGTCTTTAAATCTATGGAGATCCATAGCATAAATTGCCTGTCATTCAGTTAATATATTCAGGGCCAACGGACCAAAAATCTTTGGGCTTCTATATTCATTGCCTTAGGGGAAAAATATATATATATCGTTTTCATCTACTGGTCTTCATATAAGGGACACAAGGAACAAATTTGTTCTGTTGACAAAGCCAACCAAATCTGCATTACACACACTTGTATCCCAATCAGAACACAGTCAAACATCAATGACAGCACTTTTTCAAAATCAGCAAAGATTGCACATTAAAATATGTACTGTACAGAAATGACCAGCTTATAGAAAAGTGTGCAAAATTATGTATTTTACAGAGAATTACACACACATACAAAGCACTTTTTCAAAATCAGCAAAGATTGCATATTAAAATATGTACAGAAATGAACAGCTTATAGAAAAGTGTGGAAATTATGTATTTTACAGAGAATTTACACACACACACACACACACAAAATACTTTGGCCATTATCCTGTTAAATACTTAACATACACACAGTTCTCCAACCATGCCAAGCCATCTTACAAGCTGCTACTTATGTGTGACCAAGCACACCACGGGCACCTCCTCAGATCACCATGACAGCTTCAGCAATTTTAAGTTCTTTACATGTAGACTCTGATCAGGATGGCACTATTTATTTTGGGGAATATCAGTTGCAACCATGAGTATACATTTTAAAAAGTGAAAGGAATGAGTAAAATATGTTTTTTTAAAAGCACAAATCTTCATGTTATTTTTTTTTAAAAAAGTGTGTGTTGGAAAAGTGACCTGGAAATGATGCAGAAATGGGATGGGGAAAAAAAATTAACTTTGGGAAAATGACAAAGTCAACCTGACAGCTTGTCCTTTTCCAAACTAGCCTCTGCTGCTGCATACACTTTGGAATAGAAGTAGTTGTTTAAAAGATAAAGCACATTGATGAAGCACATTGAACTTTGTTTAATTAGATCTCCCTCCTCCATTTTCACTGCATTTCTCTGCAGGTTTATAAATTTTCATTTCCAGTTTACTCTACCTACTTGCTTCTGCAAACACCCACACTGTATGTTTGCAGTGCCCCTGTTACGCAGAATATGAACCAGTGTTTAAGTTTTGAACAACACAGTCTGTGTGATTTGAAGTAGGTAATTTCTGAGAGTGACTTCCTTTTAAAAATCAACATCTAGCTGAAAAAATTAGTAGGCCTGAGAAAAAAATATATCTATTTCTCAAGTCCCAGCATAAAATTGTTTGGATTACCTGGTATCTATCTCTCTTGCGCTATGTGGCATGGGCTAGTGAGTTTGGTTGCAAAGGAAAAGAGAAAGAGAGAAAGATAGTGGGAGAAAGCTTTTAGGAAACCAGGGAACTCCCAAGAGTGCAGTCCAGGTTGCCAGAGAACATGGTTTATAATTTAAAATGCTTTGCATACAGACTTTCTAGCGAAGTTTGCAAGAATGGTAATATGCTACTAGACGGTCTCTTCTTGCAAGCTAGCAAGAATACAGGAATAAAGTTCTGGTATACATTAGAAGTCTCTCTCTCTTAAAAAACTAATGAATGCTGCCTCGTTGCAACAGTGTTCAAGCCCTAATACTGCTCTCGGCCTATGCTCTATTGTTACAACATCAAAGACCAACTGCTGGCTCAGATACAGTCAATATGAAAAGAGATGGCCCCCTAAATTTACTGCTTCACTGCATTCTCTTTAAACGGACAACACCATGGTCCCTTTTCAAAGAGATATCACAGACATAGATCTTCTTTATAGGACATCATATACAATAAAGCGAAGCTATAACTTTGCAAGAAAGAAAGAAAGAAACGAACAACATGGAGCACCTTTAAAGAATCCACATGAGGTGAACATTCCTTATTAAAATATCACTGTGGTTACCACTTCTAAAAATGCTTGGCATGGTCTAATAATAGTTCAAAGGCAGTTGATGATATATTTTTATTTAACTAATTTAATTACATTTTAACTGGGATGTGCACTTACACTTTGCCTATTCTGATCTTTAAAAAATGCTGGTTGCCCAGTGGAATAAGGATTTCCATAGATGGATTCCTCACCATAAATGTTTTTATAGTCCCATCTGCTGCAAAAAGGATTTTCCACTCCACAGCAATATATTTTTATGCTTAATCATGGCTTGTCTAATAGAACCACAAAATGAGAGATGCTTTGCTGGGGGTGGGGAATCTACAGCTCTATTAAACTATTTTCTTTCCAATCTGAGCAGTGAATGTCTTGAAGATACTTGGTCCAAATAAAGCTCAAGATCAGTTACACATAATACCATCAGAATCTTCATTCAGTATGAGAAATTTAATCTGTCCTTGTTACTGAGCTATTTTAACATTTGCAGACACTGTAACTATGTAAAAAATGGGGCCACCGTATGTTTTAGGATCCATGGAAGAGGCATACATAAAAGCATGTAGGTCAAGAAAAACAGGGTGGGTATACATCCATTTCTTCAGGAGGACATATCGGTGAAAATGCAATCAATCTCTAGAACAGGGGAATACCTTTCTTAAGACCAATTATTGGCAAATATATTATGCTATATATTACTATATATCTAGTAATACTGTATATTTACTAGATATATTACTATATATTACTAGGGGGGCAGGGTGAGTCTCTAAAGGGTCCTGGAACACACCCTAGGACCCTTTGGAGGCTCCCCCTTCCCCCCCCCCCACTGGGCCAGAGGGGGCGAAGTCGCCACCTTCTGGGACTCTTTTGAGGCTTGGGAAGCTTCAGAAGAGTCCCAGAAGGTGGCAATTTTGCCCCCTCTGACCTCTGCGGGGGGCAGAGTGAGCCTCCAAAGGGTCCTAGGGTGTGTTCCATAAGATGGACCTCTCCATAAGGCTCACCAATTTTTAGGAGAAGAAAACAGATTATTTTTTCCTCTTTTCTTCTCCTAAAAATTTGGTGCATCTTATGGAAAGGTGCGTCTTATGGAGCGAAAAATATGGTACTAAATCTAGTAAGTTAATTCCATAACATCCTGGAATGCCATCCTATTATTAGAGTTTATTTATTCATTTATCTATTTAAAATACTTTTACCCTGCTTTTCTCCCAAAAAGGACCCAAGGAACTTACATCATGGGGAAAAAAAGTATTTAAAAACTAAAAACAGTTAAGTATATAAATATTTTTTAAAAAAGAATTAAACAAGTATATTTAAAATGGTAAATAAAATAAGTACTAAAATATTTAAAACAGAGA